CAGTCTGCTCCTGTCCTGTTTAGTGGCTGCACCATACCAGACTGATGGTTGTGTTAAATGGTTGTGTTCTACATGGCTTTAGTTATTTAACTTGCTTTAAAACCAGGGTAGAACTCATAAATTGGGGTTTTGGCTCAATGTATCTCTAACAGTAATGGTGACAAGCTGTGGGTGATGCTGTGCCAGACGGAGCCACGCCATCTACTCCCGCAATTGTGGTTAATTTCAGATGCACACAGGCCATGTCTCATAATTCCTGAAGATTTCCTCTGGCTAGTTTTATTGAAACTAATTTATAACGAAGACACTGTTTTCTGTGGGTTAACCAGCCATGCAGAGATGCTGTTTGTCAAAAGTGGTGCTGCTGTAGAATTAGACAACTTAACCACAACTACCATTTATGTCTACACAATGCAACAGAAACCTTTCTGGGATATATATATATATATTTTTTTAGGAGTTAAGTTCAGTTTAATACCATTTAAAATTTGGTGGCAGCTCTCAGAAATCTGGATTTCAGTCTTGAGTTGGAGCACGATGTGTAGAAACTCAGACTTTTCTCCCTTTTCTTGTACTTTACTTCTTGGTTTCAGGTGAGAAGTTTACTGTAGTGCACTGGAATGTAGCAGATGCAGGAATAACTTTGTTCTGTTAAATATTCATCTGAAGCAAAAGATTTTGTTTGTGCACATATGAAAACCCCTCCCATGGCTGCTAAAGACTCATTCTGAATACTGAATTTCACATAAGGAGGCCTTTTTCTGGCACACTCCTGTCAGAATCAGTTGTCCCCTCATTGTAAGGTTTTATCCTAGATCCAAAATACTTCAAGCAAAGAATCCCAGCTCAGAAACTCGTTGCGAAATTGCTGTGGAATCGAATGCAGGAGATGTTCAAATGAATACATCAGTGTTGTGCATATATAAACATGGTTTTATTCTCCTCGTGTGAGTCACAGATTCAGATATGCGTCAGTTAATCTGAGTGTGGGTGTGACAAGAGCGCATGGTAAGGCTGGGGCTCTGTGTGTTTGTGTGCTTTTGTCAGATTCTGTGTATTTTTACACCTATGTGAATGTTTGTGAGTGCATACGTGTGCACCCATGCATTCATCTTTAAGCGTTGTTGAGCTAAGAAAAAAGGAATATTCCTTGAGGTGCACAGAAAAACAACAACACATTCATGAAGCTTGGCATTAGTGCATGTGAAGCTCAAAGAGATCATTAAATCTCTTTTATTCCCTTCATTCAGCCGTCTTCCTCTGTTCTCTTTGCAACTCCCTCTCCCAATTTCTCAGCCATTCTCTCCATCTTTACCATCATCACTTTTAATCTTGATGGAGGAGGAGACGTGGTCCTTCCACGACTCCGCAGCTGACACGATGCCCCCGGCTATGATGTCGATCAGGCAAACTGTGCTCCCTTTATCTCTTTATTACACAGACATCACCAGAAAAAAAGGGGGTTATCATTAAATGTGGACGTTATTTCAAGCTTTGTGGTTCTGCACACTTTTCAGATTGTCTTATTCCTCTGTGAAAATAATTTTGCATAAGAGAAGATAACACTCACTCTGCTTTAGCACCACTTGTTTTCCAATAAGCTGTTATTCTGAGGTTTTGACACAGGCACAGCAAGCAACCCTGTGAGGATTATTATATTATATCTTATTATATAGGCTTATGTTTTTGGCCAATTAAAAAGTCAACCTTGACAGCAGGGATGGAGCAATCAGCAGCAAAAGATGCATCCAAATGAAAGATTCATGATTCTCGTAGTGTTCAGCAATAATCCAGTCAACCACAAAAGGAGTTCTCTAATAAACAGAGGACACAATTGGCAGGTGAATTGTTGGGAATCTTGGATGAGCAGTTCTCATCCTTTGGCTTGTTTCATTGCATCGGTGTTTCCCGACTCCTTTGATCCTCTCTTTGGAGGTTGGAGATTCATCTTTTATCTGAGGGGGTCAAAAGTTAAACCACTCACTCTGCTTATTTGTTCTGTTGGAAACTTTTCATCTTTTCAATTGCTGT